CAGGCATGAAAATGTGCCGCTCAAACACTATACTTTTCCGCTCACACTGAAAAAAAATTAGAGGGAACATTGCTACCATGTCATAACACAGTGCTCTTGTTTTGTTTATTGAGTTTGAGTTCTGTGCCATCTAGTGGTTTCTTAACAGAATTGGATATTGTACACTTCAGAACCCCTATTAAGTGTATAATTCTGTATGACTGTGTGTGTTGTGTATGTGTGCGCGTATGCATGTCTCTGTGGGTGTGCAACCTTATGCATACACACATCAACACAAAAAAATGTTTCTTCTTTCCTCTGAGTGATTCTTGGCTATACCTATTTGAAAGAAAGCAATGTGTTGTCTTTTGCTTTATGATTAATACTATCCTTATGTATTTGACTCTAAATGTTACCATCCTATTTTTCTAGGGTTTCCCTGGCCTCCGAGGAGAAAAAGGAGAAAAAAGTGAAAGAGGAGAAAAGGTAGTTATCATTTCTAATTCTCTGAATAAGTTCTTATCTTGTTTTCAGTTCTTCAAAAAAGCTATCTCTGCACCTTTCTTCTCCCATATAATCTAAATGGGATTAAGCATAGACAAATAATTTATCATATTATATTCTAACAAGGCAGAATCTATTAACACAGTATTTTGTACAAATATTACCCTTTACCTTAATGACCAACTCAACAAATTAATTTCAAACAATTCACATAATTAAAACCATATGTGGTTGCACATTTTGTACTGGAAAATTTATATTTTTAATACACATATACACATGTTAGTGCTTTTTTATTTTATTCCCATACCTTCATAAAACATCTTGGTTCTAGGAAATTGTCCTATCAAAAACATACAGTATAAAGTTAAATCCTCTTCCTTGATATATTAATTTTGTATAGGAAAATGTTTAAGAATGAATATAAGTCATAATGTAATTCATAGTTCTGTTAAGCCAACATTTTTATTTTACCACATTGTAAACACTTCATTGTAAGTTATAGATCAAATTTAGGCTTGGCAGAACAGCATCTAAGCTACCTATGGTACCCAGATTTAAATAAAACGTTTTCAGAAGTCATAATCTCCTAGAATTACCAATTCTACTATAAGACTACAGTCAAGAATATGTGTATGCTGATTTTGTGAAATTTTGGGCATTTGGCCATTATTGATTGTTTATCTTTTTATTTTAATGTCAACAGGGAGAAAGAGGATTGCCGGGCAGAAAAGGAGCAAAGGGACAAAAAGGAGAACCAGGCCCTCCTGGATTAGATCAGCCTTGCCCAGTGGTATGATTTTATTATTGGGGACGGGGAGGGATATTCTTGATGTATTTGAAAACTTTAGTATAAGAAGCAAACTATTTCAAAGCATTTTGGAGAGAGAGGCTGTTTGGAACGAAGTGTCTATGTGAATGCTAATACTTCTGATTATTGGCCTTCCTTCTGCTCCTGTTCCCTCCCTTTAAAACAAAACAAAATAAGGTTAGGGTTGAAAGAAATTGGGCAGCTCCATTAGGTCACAGCACTTTATCACTAGGCGGCTTCTTCTTGGGAGGTTGACCACTCCAGCTATAAGGTTTCAGTCAACCTCTGAATTTTTCTTTATTTCTGTTCCTTCTTCCTTTCCTATTAACCTTCTCTCCATTTTCAATTAACAGTTCATTTTTAAAGGGGAGCCAGGTTTACCAGAACTGGATGGTGTGGAAATGCTCTGTCCTTTGGTACAGTATCTTTCTCTTCCTTCCTCCTCCTGCATGATTTTTTCTGCTTGCATATTCCCATTTTCTCCCTTCCTCCCAGCCTGAGTATATATTTTGTAGCATCTGGTACCACTGAAAGACATAGGATTAAAGGTAGAAATGTAGGTTCTCAAGCAACATTTCTCCCAATGCATGCTCTGGAAGCAGCTTGACCCAGCCTCCTTGGCATTCCAAACAAAAGCTAGGCATGGTGCAGGGTTCAGTTTGAGTCTCTGGTTTCTCCATTTAAAAAAGTACCAAGAAGCAGAAATCTGAATCATAGAATTTAGAAAACTATGCCAAACTAGGAGCCTCACACAGATTCCATACATTCCCAAGATCTAGCCATTGTGTATAATTTTTGCTCCCCACCTTTCTCAAAATCTTCCATTTGGGATTTCTGTACTCCGTCTTAAAAGTCAATGTTTGGCTCAGCATCCTACTACTTTGAGTATAGGAAACAAAATTCTGTAACACAGCCAGTCACAAAGGCAAGTTATTTGTTCTGTGTGCATGAGTTTAAAATGTTTTAAAAGCAGAATCTGCTAGACCATAAAGAACATCTGAACAAGTTCACTTGTGATTTCACACAGGATGTTGTCAAAGACATTTAATTGACATGTTATATGTTGCTGCAGTGATACAAGTATACAGATCTGTGTTTTAGCAATAATATCCAGCCAAATGTTCATAATGTATGGCTATTTTTGTGTTAATATTAAAGGTTCCTTGATTTCTGTGGTAGTCGCTTTTCCTTTCTTCTCTATCTATGCTTTGCCCCTGAGAAAGGAGCTGTCACAACATCTTAATAATTAGTGGGAAATGGAGATGATTCAAAGCACCATGACATTTCTTTTTAAACCTAAAACTGGACCATTTCAAATCACTCTTTTACTTCCTATTTGTTTCATAAGATATTTTTAAATTTTGTTTGATCCCACCATTGTCCCTTTGAACAATACATATCTTACTTAGTTCATTGAATTATTAAGGTTGTATTGGTTGAACTATATAAAACAGCTAATGCTACATGCAGATGCTCAGGATAAACTCTGAAAATCTCAACAAAATTATGGTTTGGGAGGATATGCTTTGTGGGTCGTCTTCTAGTCTCCATCATCTATGAATATCGTGGTTGACTTTAGTTGTTCTTTTTTTAAACTTGGGTCTGCTCCGATTCATCAGTCAGATTTTGTAATCAGTGATGCATCAGCTTTAGTGGTTGCCATTAAATTACTCCATCAGATGCTTAGGAGAAAATTGCAAACTCTAAAATCTGATGTCAAATTCCATGAATAGTTTCACATTGTATTTTATTCCAGACTTTTTTTATCTAGATGCCACAAGCTTTATGAAGTACATCTTGTTTGTGCAAAATTGGTTGAGGGGCTTTTGAGCATGTTGTACATAGCTGTTCTAATGTTTATATAGCTAATGTATCAAGTATGTCCCTCCAATTGATAGTTGTAAACTGAAAACATGGACATGAAGAATAAAAAAAAATGCTAGGACTTTTCTAATCATTGCTCCCACTCTCATTTTAAGGATATAGCCTTTGTAAACTTCTGTCAGAACCTGCTGTGGAGTTAAATTCAATGGTACTTCCTACAGACTGCACAGGTGGATTTAGCTACACTATAGCTTTTCCTACCTCAAAGATTCATGTTATTCCATAAATCAAAAAACCTTGAGAGTGTGGGAGAACCCAGATATTTGATTGTTTTAATGGTTATTAACTAATGGAACATTGTTCCGATATACTGCTTTTTCTTTAAACCGACACATGATTTCTGCATGGGTCTTCACATTAGCTGCTCTTCATAGTAGCTGCTGTAGACTTTCCAGAGTCATCATGAACGAAGTGGCATTTGTTTCTTAGCTGTTTACCAATAATACAAAATGATTCTTCATTTCGTTACAGGGTCCAGATGGATTACCGGTACCAGGATGTTGGCACAAGGTATTATAAATATATTTTACATTTTTTTTGTCCTGAATTTGGATTGTTGTTAAGCAAGAACAACAGCATAGTATATTCAGTTGTAAGCAACTAAATAAGCTGAAGTAAATCTGGATCTTTATGCTTTCATAGCCCTGTTGATTTGCCATGGGATGACCCATTTGTATTGCCTCCCATGTGTAGAATGGAGAGGCTCTTCATGTGATTATTCTGATTTTCAGAAACCTCTAAGGAGGTTTCATTGGATGGAAGAGTCTCTCCACTGCAGGTGTTTACCTTCCTCATAGAGAAAGTAAGGCTAATACACTCAAGCCTTGAACACAGGTTGAATTTCTCATTTTCATAACAGCTGAACAGGTCTTATGGCTGTGTATTATAATACCAATATAAAAAATGACTAAGTCAGAGATAAGCAAATACTTCCTATGTATGTCAAATTTCAAATCATAGTTAATAGCAAATATATGGAATGCATAAAAATCTGGCTTTACTTCAGTTTCAATATGATTTTGCATCTTCCTTTTCAGTTGCTTTTATATTTATTTTTAATGTGCTTTTAACCATTTGTTTTAAGCAAGCCCATGAACTTGGCTCAGGTGACTGGAAGGAGTGTTTCTGGCAGAGAAGCAACAACTTTCCTCTTTAACATAAAAACTTTCTTTACCCACATTTTAATTCACATACATTGATCTTCATAAGTAAAAGAGGCCTTCTAATTGCCTTGAGGTTGAAAAGCACAATTGTTCACTGTCAAAATAACAGGAGTCATTTTGCTACTTTGCATTAGTTTTAGTATCCAGCAGCAAAACACAGATAATAGGATGACTTTCATGAACTCCTTTGTTTCTTTGCTATCTCCCCCAACTCTTTATCAAACATATGTAAATGACATATTCTTACTTCTAAAATATACTTTGCAATTTGTCTTTGAAAGAGAAATAGGAAATATGCTTTTCTCTTTATGTCTTCATACATCTGCTGTGAACACTGAAAATACAGATTCTTTATGTTTCAAGGTTTGTCTACGTGTCCCCTAACAGCACTTCAAAAATGCCTTGTTTACTGCTCTTTAAGGACATATTTTTAAAAACTGAATTTTAATGAAACTGTCTGTGACACAAATGCCTGCCTGCCTGTTTTAAAACATGCATTGCTTTCTTTTGTTTTGCAGTGATTCTACACGCATGGACTATGTAAATAATAGTGAGATAAATGTTTATTTTTATTATTTTTTTTATACAAAGAGGAAAAAGTCACAAAAACAATGTTTTCAACAGTAATATATTGATCTTTTTAATACTGGATTTGTCATATATGGATTTTTAAAAATATGAACATTCCTGAGAGCCACAAGACAGACCACACACACATACACACATGCAGAAACACAGAAGGAGTCAACATTCTAAAACAGTCAGGAATGGATGTCACTTGCTGCTAATGCTAATGTGTGGATTAACCATACTGAAATACTTGTTTTATTGCATGGAGAAAGAACATCCCTGGACAACCTTTTTAGCTTTCAACTTTCTAACTCTGTTGCACATAGACACAGGCAGAAAAGGGAGAGAAAACGAAAAAGAAAAAAAAGATTCAGCCCTAGAAATTGAACAAACCTTGTGGATGAACGTAGGAAGAATTTCCAATCTGGAAAGGTAACACAACTATAACCACACTTGTTGCTACTTGCTTCAACCTTGAAGAAACTAGTTTCATTGTGGGTCACTCTGATCCGTTTCATGAGCCGTGGCTGCTTCTCCTCCAGAAGAAAGCATCATCTCTGGGAAAAACCCCACTCCACATCTTCAGTCTGTGACTAAAGTTTGAAAGATTCCTCTGTGGAACTTTATTTTAGTGCAGAAATTCAAAAACATGGAACATCTCAACTGTCACATCTTTTTTTATTTTAATGAAATGAAGGATACTCTATAATATTCATCTCAATGTACAGATTTGAAAAATAATAATTTTTGCTTTAAAAACCAAAATCCCATCATGATTGCTCTCTTTTGCAAACTTGGACAAGATACTCATTATGCTGCTTATTCTTCTGGAATCACAGAACTCAATAAATACAAAAAATAGTATTCCTACCAATCCACAAGTGTTTCATCACACCCATTTAATATGAATGTTTCTATTGTAATATATAAGATTATAAGAGCAACGTGAAATAACCTATTGTTAAAGCATTTGTAATTAACCTGGTGATAGAAATGGCTCTTTTTAGAAAAAAAAAAGCTGAACTCCACATTTTATGTAAATTATATTGCCCCAAAAGCCAAATATCTCTATATACAACATTGTATTATTTCAGTCCTGAGACTGCATCTATGTAATTATGCACATGGATGATGACATTGTTCAATATGAGATCCATTCTCATATAATTCAGTTACTCATTCAAAAAAAAATTCATCTTGTTCACAATGGTCTGGAGATTCTTCTTATAACAAGCAGAGATTTCTAGTTTCCCACAGTCTAATATCATTGGAAGAAAGTAGTGTTCTTGCTTAGGAGAACATCTACATGGTCAGTGTTCTCTCTATAAGACAAAGCATTAGCCAGCACTGTTCTTTGACTGGCAGCCTGCAAAACGGTCATCTTACTTGCACAAAGGGAGCAGGGATTTTTGGCATTTGACCTTTCTGTATCCTCAAGACCCAGAGGGCACCTTAAGCTTTTGGAGAAATAGCAAGTGTTGCCTCTTCCTTTCACCAGAATTAGCCCATTAAACCAGAATTTCAAATAAAATATTGAATAGTTATATCAGTAGTCTTTCACAGACAGTAACTCTCCCTTTCATAAAAAAACTTCTGGGATCCAACCAAATAATGTAACCTGGCATAGGTTTCAAATTACAAGTTTTGATTATTCAATATTTTATTCATAGTATAAATGCTGAAGAGCCAACAATCTTAAAAGATCCTTGTTTTCCAAGGTCACTTTAACACAAAGTTTCATAAACTCCAAAATGAATTTGAGGAATAATTACATATTTTTTGCCTAGAAAGATTAGAATATTGTTTGAAATCCTCAAGCACCAGCAAAAATCAGTTTAATTACAATGCTACAATTAGCATTCACATTATAGAAATGAAGAGGCATCATAATGTATGGTTTTAACCATACTTAGAAAGCATATACTTCCCTTTTCATTTTATCTTAGTACTAATTGGTTTTATACTAATTCTCAGCTTTAGCCCTCATTCCCAAAAATAAATTTAAGGATGTTCAAAAATACTGGTTGGCATTACTGATTCAAATTTATTTCAGTAAATAAGATTCTTTGAATCTTTGGCAGGAATGTCTGTTCTTTCTGTTGTAAATGTTTTTAAAGTACTCTAGACAAACTTCAATCAATACTTTAAACTACTGTACAAGTCTTCACGGGAGAAGATGCATAAGTTTTTTAAAATTTGAGATTAAAATTAACATTGCTTCACTGTGTTAATTCATTTGGTTGTCAAAGTTTATGTTTTTGAGGCCTTCAGTTTTAGTTTTGTATAGCATTAAACATCAGTTTAATTAAATGAAGATATAACTGAATTAAGAAAGAGAAGTTAAATATTATGACTTCCTAGTCTTTCTCTTCCTCTCTTACCATGTGGCAAGATATTTCATTCATTCTTATTTTAATACTGTATATCTGCTATCCTTCTTAACAAAAATAGAGCACATAATAATCGAGGGAAAGTACACAGAAGGTATGAGGGAATTAACTTCAGGCCCATGTTTTCAGCATAGAACTAGGGAATTGTCAAGATGGGGATATCATTCATTAATTGTAATTTTCCAACTCTCAGAAAAATATGTCGTTAAAAACTCAATGCCTCTTTGATATTTTCCCAGTTAAAAGAAATCTTTTTTTATACCAATGTCAGGATTTGGAAAAAAATGTATTTATTTTAAATAATCTTAAATAGTACTGGTTGAGAGGTCCTGAGGCTTATTCTAGCTAAGAACTCCAACTAGGATGAGCAGGAAGAAACTGGCAGTTGCAGACTAATTTGACGGAAAACAAAGCCACCTCTCACATGTCCTTGAACATGAACCCTACTTATTGCTATTAGAAAGTTCTGGTACAAAAAAACTTTGACAGATGGCCCTCCCTCAACATTTATGGTATGAAAGTCCATAGTGTCCTATATCTTCCAGAATATTTTCTCACAGATTCATATCTTGCACCTGTTACATAGAAATTGTAGTAATATGTTAATAATTTAACAAAATGTATCACAGTATCAGTTTTAAATTTCATCCTAAGCAAAAGATGTATGAAAGAAAATATGTGGATATTTTTTTTTTGCTGGATAATTCTGAAATTAGTTTAATTTCATTGTAGCTAGTGAGATTCTTTGCATATTCTTTTCAAAATATTTATTCGTGTCACATTTTGTGGTATGGATAATTGTGGGGAAACTATTCTAAAGTGCTGAAAATAATAAAATGTTAGCAGGCATTTTTCTCCTAGAATACTCTCACTTCAGTTAGAGATTAGTTTTTGGTTTAGCATTTAGTATTTTTTTAAGGAAATTGCATCAGAATAAAGATACAAAAAACAAAGTAAAGAAGACTACCAATAAAGCACAAGCAAAAATGTTATGGAAAAAATGATTCTTTGGATATTCTTTTAAAAATATTTATCAGGATGAGTGTCTGGCTTGGGGAATCAAAATGATTAAAATAATGAATACACAAGAGACATATAAAAAGGGATTTTGATTGGTTCATTGTGACTATCATCTTGACATTTTTTAGCTCCTTCCTGAGTACACACTTATTTAGCAGTACTATATGTTTTATTGCAGATAATTATGGAAATGAAATGATCTTTAGTCTTGAAAATAATAAGATGAATAGAAATCCTATCTATTCTATGTAAGGATAGTTAAGTTGGCAAATCACCACTAGATGTTGGCAGAATTGAAGATGATGAACAAGTAGCATTATCTTGGAGAATAAGAAATGTTAACTAACACCCAGACAAAATAAATTTATCTTGTTTGTAATCTTTGAACGTATCAGCTTAATCCAGCTATCCTTTATATAATATACACATTATAGTGTAGTAACTCTAATCTAAAAATGATATTGAATTAGTCACTCAAAAGTCTTCCATTTTAATGTCCTGTGGAGTTATTAATATTGTAATAGAATAATTATATACTTATTCATTATTATCTTCTGGTAGTACAGAACACACTCAGTAACTGACATTTATTGACTAAATTAATTTGGAATGGTATGCAGCTATATAAATAAAAACTTACCCACATATAACTCTTGATCTTTCTTTACTACACAAGTGAGTTGTAAAACATATACAGATGGAAGTCCTTGACTTGCAACCAGTCAAAGTTATGATGGATCTGAAAACGGGACTTACAACCCAGGTTTGAAGGTCCAATGTCCCTCCCCCATGCTGCATGCTGGACGCTTAGCAGCTGGCTTATATTTCAAGCTATGTTGTTATATGACTGTAATGTATTATGTTTTTGCCAGAAATTGGTATTTATTTCTAATTTTCAACAAAAACACCTTAAAGTGAACAATATAATTAACAACCGTCACAAAAAAATTATAAAATTTGGTCAAGTTATGTGGTGATCTGCTTTATGACCTTTACGACCAAAATTGTGGGCTCTGTTACTAAGTCAAGCTTGACTGTACTGTAGCTCTGAATGAATTAAGTATATTATCTATTCATAACTAGTGCAAATGAATCCCCAATGAAGCCTTATTATTGAAGAAATAGAATTGGTGAAGCATAATATATATCATTGAGATTCTACACTGAAGAGTCTACAGACTTGATAGCATTTAATTTGGGTTCTATCATGTCTATTTTCTCAATACAGTATTAAGCCATGATTAGCTTTAACCCAAAATGATGTGTTAAAAATCTTTTGAACCAATTCTAAATTTGATCTAAACTTCAACTACAGTACTTATTAATAAATGTAGGACTAACATGGAGAGGGAATGTTTCACAATCAATTTATTCATGATGTTTTGCAAGCCTTTTGCATTTATTCCACACGTACATTGTTGCAATTACAAAAATAATTGTTCTGCCTTTTGTCCCTTTTATAGTTCAGCTGAAGTTAGATTTAAATCCCACTTATTTGCCCTTTAGATTTCTAAGGAAACCTCAATATAAAATGATAGCTTAGCCCGGCAGGTGTGAGAATTTACTGGTGTTATTAACTCATCAGCACTATGCAGTGCCTAAAACCAGAGGCTGTTGGACTATAACTTCTGTCTACAGCATCCATAACTAGCTAAAACTAATAGGAATCAGGTCTTGTCCTGGCATGCAGATCCAACGAGAGTTACTTGAATCACCTGAGGATCTGGTGACTCTCTTGAAAATAAGAAGGGTGAATGGATGGATAGATGGATAGCATCTGTTACTTGTTACTGAATCATGCTCTTCCAGATGCCATTGTCTATTCCTCTCTGTTGGCTGACCCAGATGTTCAGGTAATAACAGTCAGAGGACTGGCTTCTAGTACAGATTTGAGAATGTGTTGGCTATATCTAACTCATTACCAGCAATGCATGCAAGGGAAGTTACCTCTGTCCTCCTCCACCACATTCTCCAAATATAATCTGGAGTGTCTCTTTCCTTCACTTCCCAAATCTCTCAAGTAGATTTGAGAATTGCAGGAAGATAAATTCGGTCATGGCTGGTGGATACAATATCTAAACTGTGTCAGGGTAAGATGCATTAATTCAAACTTCCTTCATTTCAGCTTAACCTGAATAGGTATAATATAAACGTGGTATCTATTTGTTTAAACTGACCATCTACATTTTATTGTCGTGCATAATCTCAAGACATTAAATAAATTAGACACAGATACAAGGCAAACATAACTGTGAATGTAGTTCATGTTTATATTGGAAACCCTCTTCTGAGATTCAATAAAATGTAAAGCTTTGTTTCAAAACAAAGAGGGTAATATTTTATACAACAGTCAAATCTCACTGTTACTGATTTCCTTATATAATTTATAATGTGTACATGCCAAAAGAAGCAGTATATTTAGCTGTAATATAGGGGAACAATAAATGAAGGCATTAATACAGTAATACTCGTTAATAATTAATTGTACTGCTTGTTTTGTAAATTTTACAACAATCACTGCATTATCTGGCAGTGTAGCCATTGTTTTGTGTTTTAATCTGTAGTAAGAGTTGATACTTGAACAGTTTTAAAATAAACTGCTTCTTGAACTGATTGTTTTCTATGATTATTCTATACTGCAGCATTTGTAACTATGATTATATCTCAAGCAAATATTTCAAGTAAAAATAAGTGTTACACTAATTTTTTCAATCCAAAATGAGTATTATATTAACCAGGCCTGTATTTCTGAAAGTTACTTGAAGATTATTTCATTTACAAACATTAGATAATAATCTTATATAGTAATAATTAAGGTTATCCAGCCAAACAGCACCAACGATTCTCCAAGGAGAACGATAGGGACAGGAGGCTTGGATTATCTTTGAGGTTTGCATTTAAACAAAAACTCTTTCAGTACAGCAGAGCACAATTTAAGGCGCATATTATCCAATGCTATACAGATTGTTAGAGGGGAGGGAATAAGAAAGATGGGGCAAGTGGGGGAGGGGGAGTACCTAAAGCAGGGACAGCACATTCATTGCTTACAGATAACAACAGCATTTAGATTTAAATACTGCTTCACAGCACTCTACATGGTTTACAGAGTCAGTATATTGCCCCCCAACAAACTGGGTCCTCATTTTACTGACCTCAAAAGAATGGAATGCTGAGTCATCAGGATTGAAGTAATCGAACTCTTGCCAATGTGAGCCAGAATCCTACACTAGGATTCTTTTTTTTAAGAGTTTTTTTTTATTAAACACACATTAAAACATTGGACAGAGTGTAACCGTCCTGGCAATGTCTTTGTCATACATACTAGAATATAAAGTTAAATATTATAACCACCATGCTTATTTACAATTGGTCTATTATTTACAAATATAAAGATATCGTTTTTCCATCCATGTTGTTTTGCTCGTCATACATTTTCAGTGTTATGATTTCATACATAATTCTAATCTCCATTGTATAAATCTTAGTCATTGCTTATTTTGGATCTTTCCTTT